CTGATAATTTAGCCATAGAAGCAACTTATTTAAAGTAAGGTAATTATATCACAGGGCCACTGTCTGTGGAGGCTACTGTAAATTTGAGAAAATAGAACTATATCATCAGCATTTGAGCAAATGCTTATCTGTCTTCTTTCTACTGCAGAGTAGCATGATTTGGCTCATCCAGGAGTAATATAGAGTCATTAAGATACACATTTTAAAAAGGAGTCTGAAATATATTGTGTTGTTTCCCTTTAGAGTTAGCTAATCTGTCGAGAAACTGTCTCTAATGACCTGGATTCTGGAAGTGGTATTAGGAGACAAGGTACAACTTCCACCATAAGTAGCCAGGGGTGTATATCTAGGGCATAACTAATTCCTGTGCATAAGCCAAGAGAAGGTCAATAAAATCAACACTTTCAAGGTTCTCAAAAAACTGAAGCACAAACTGATGAAGCTTATATAATCCTAGTCAATGAGGCAAGAATTCTGCCTAACGCCCAGATGTTTTTCCTACAAAATATTGTCCTGAGACACCCAGACCTGCTGTTTACCAAAAAAGGAACTGGCCTACATTTAAATGGAATAATTTGGAGGGAACAGAAAGCATTTTTAGTAGAATCACTAAGTATGGTTCTAGGCAGGTATTTACTCCTAGGTAACAAGAGGAATATAGACCAGGATGTGAGCACATCACAGAGAGCAGTGCCAAATATTCCAAAGGCAAATGCCTTCTGCCCATGCTCTATGTAATCAGAGACTATTACTAGGACCCAGATGAAGGTCTAATTTCAAGGCAATTGGTGAAGGTTTTTCAAATTGGGAGTGTTCTTCAACATCACTCTTCTTGAACACTAAGAAATGAACAACGAATCCTACGGTATTCATTTCCTCTGCCTTGCTTATCTACTCTGTGGCACACCAACATCAACAGGGCAGCAGTGTGGTAAAGAAGAATGAAGAGATTGGTGCTTTGAGGTACCAAAAACCACATAGAATAATTTAGGGCATGTCAGTTATAGAACAATTAAAAACCACCACATAATTGAATGATGGCATCAATCAGAAATATAAAATACAAGGGAAACACGCCAATGGAATGTTTACATATATTAAAAGGAAAATTTCTTAGGCCAAGTAAATTTAGAGTTTATTTGAGCCAAGGAAAACAAAAACAATTTGCAGACCCAGCAAAAGGTTTGCAGAACCTCAACCAACCATAGGATCAGACAGCAAGGCATAGAAATCAACTTAACTGTTGATAGCCTAGTTGACCAGACATTTAGGTACAGCTTAACTAGTTACTTGTTTGCAAGCTAATCAGGCAGGTGGCTATAGGGCCTTCTGCAACCAGCCAAAGCTCAATTACTGTCATTAAACTCTGTTGGTTAAGTCTGTTGTACCCAATACAGATGCCTAGTCCAAATCCATGGCCTCTCACAATTTTTATTTCACAAATATTAAGAACTTATTTTTTTCTCACATAAAGGGAAGTTCAGAGGCATGCAATTATGGGTTCAGGTTTAATTCGCTCCAGAGCCTCTGAATTGCCCTGTTATTTCCCTCATGGCCCCAGGTTGGCTGCTACAACTCCAACCACAAGGTCACATTCCAGCCTAATGGAGAAAGAAGGAGAAAAGGTGGCGCCTATTGAACAGTCCAGCCCTGAACCAAAACTCTATGCATGGTCATTGAGGTCTAACCATAGGCAATTGCAAGGCTCTGCCTGGCAGGCTTCATGGGGGTGGGAGAGCTTCCCTTCGCATACCAGACATGAAACACGTCCAGTGCATTCCGGTTTTCTGGAAGGAGTTGCAATCAAGGAGATGTTGCAGTACAGGGCTAAGATGTGCCCTCCCACTCCCAGCCCAGCCAGCCATACCTATAGGCATATCTGCATTCCTAGCCCAGGCACCCCCAATTCAGAGGCTTCTTTCCCAGAGACTGTGGCTGAGACTTCCCAGGCACCTCCATCAAAAAATGTCCTTAGGATTTTAATTCCAACTTCATCTATGTACTGCTGTTTCCCTTTGGTGCACATAGATCCTTGTTGCCAAGTCATTGGTCTATCCTTATTTCAACTGTCCATTACTATTAAGAAGTCCCTGAAACAAGTACACCCATTTTTGCTTTACCCAAGATCTTCCAAGGCCCTGAAAGAGAGGCATGTCATTGCCAGCCATATGTTCTAACTCGAAGACTTCTCAGGGACTCCTTGGAGGGGCCTTGGCACTTTTCTCCACTTTGACTTAGTACTTTTCTACTCCTAACCCTCACCCCTTTCCCTTTCCCTGGACCCCTATGTCCATAAAACAGCAGGATTCTTCTGTTTAGGCCTCTTCAGCAACAAAAGAATTCTCCCAAATGCATGCATCCTTGCTCTATGCTGTGCCAAAGGACGGAGAGCAGTATAAGGGAGCCAGCTCCACTTTTTGCCTCTTGCTTGCCATCACAACAAAGACTTCATTGTTACTCTCAGCTGGCCTCGTTGCCCTAATTGGCCACTTAAAATATGGCAGCTGGATGGGACAGCAAACCTTCTCAGAGACCCCCACAGCCAACTTCTACTCCAGCCTCACTGGCCTGAACTGAGACACACATAGCTGCTCTTAGATGAATCGTGTCTAATTGAGAAAACCCTGATCAACCATCAGTGTCTGCCAGACACTGATGGAATTAGGAGTTCAGAAAAGAGAGACGTTTAGGCTGAGCTGCAAGGAGATGGTTTCACAGAAAAGGTTAAACTTTAAACTGTGCTCCAAAAGATAAATAAGGTTTAGAGATGAGAGGGCATGACAGATGAAATGGACAGACTAGGGAAAGGTTCTGAGGAAGGAATGTGCTTCTGGGACAGAAGAAACCACTCTGCTTCTCTGGAAAAGAAAAAGTCCAAGAAAGTTTGAGGGGTTTTGTTGTTGTGGCTCTGGGGACGGAGCTCAGGGACATTCTACATCTGAGCTACACTCCCAGAACTTTTGGTTTTGTGACTAAGTTGCCCAGGCTGTCCTAGAACTTGCAATCCTCCCGCCTCTGCCTCCGGATTCTCTGGGATCACAGGCATGTGCCACCACCACTCCTGGCAGAAATGTTTGATTTGGGAAGTCGAATACAGTTGCCCTCCAGGGGATGGCAGAGCATGCCACTCATCCGAGAATCTTTAGCAAGTCTTACACTGGAAAAATAAACTAAGAAATGCCTGTGAAAGAGCTGCTATTGTCTCTCCACACACGTCAGTAAACATTTATGCACAGGAAGTGGCCTTAATATGTGCAGATTACACTTTTCAGGGAAAAAAAAAAAAACAAGTAAAACACAGCAGTGGGATCCAATGAAGAGAGCATCATTCTGCCACCGTCTGGGCTTTGCCTCCCACTGTGATCCACAGGGTATCTACTCACAGAACCAAAGCAACATATGGCCTTGGAAATGCAAGCCTCTGATCTCAGAATCAACAGAGGACTCTTTAAATTAAAATATCAAATCAAAAATTCCCCTGAATAACTATGTGTTTGAGTTGTGTTTCAGGCGTGTGTGTGTGTGTGTGTGTGTGTGTGTGTGTGTGTAAAGAGAAATGGGGGCATTGGCCAAATGAAAAAGTGTATTAAATCATTAGAGCAGATAAGATCAAGGCGATGTATTCCCCTAAGAGTGTGTTTCTCCCGTTCCTTATTAATTGGCAGTGAAGGTAGAAACAAACAGTGGTAATAAAACCAGGGAATGGGGTTCTTTCATGACTCTTGTTACACAGCCTATGGAGTAACTCAACACCAAAAAACTCAACGGCCAACATCTTTTTCTGCCACATCTAAGTGAGCTCTACCCCAGAAGGGAGTGGAAACTGGGCAGAGATCACTCCTGAAGCAAATCCTCTAGTGATTTACAAGAGCTTGCCTTCAGGACGGTTCCCAACAGTCTCATTTAAAAAAAAAAAAAAAAAAAAAAAAAGGCTTTTCTAACACCAATTGGCAAAGTGACTGTTCCCGAAAAAATTAAAATGTGGGATGGGCTCATTACGCAACCATGCTGGAGGTGGACAGAAATAAAGCATAAGCCTACAACCGTCACCTCTGAAAAAATGAAGAGTCTGACATTGGCTCAACAAAAAGAAGACATTTTAATTAATATGCCTCCCTGCGGCTTTGTCTTTCTTCTTGTGTACTCAGCTGGAGTAATTAGAGGAAAACCTGAGGGACGCCTCCCCCAGAAGCCTCCCCGGGCCTCACTCTTCACTAGCAATGGTCTTCACCCAGGAAGAGAATCAGCATGAGCACTAATGTCCATCTGCTCTGGGGGAATCATCCCTCCAACCACCAAAAGGAACTACACTGGTTTGGGATTTTTGTTTTGTTTTGTTTTGTTTTTTTAATAGCAAATTCTACTCATCTTAAAGGGAACAAAAAGAAGCAATCATCTATAAAGAAATCCAAGTTAGTCTCACTTGTGATTCAACTCCCTCTTCTGAGATTTATCCTTATTTAAAAACGTTGCCTATGTCATATATACTACTATAAAATTCACCCACTTGAAGTGTACAAGTAAAATGAGTTCTGATAAACGTACACAGTTGTGCAACCATCACCACAATCAAGCTTTAGAACACTTCTGTCACTCAGGAAATCCCCTAGCGTCCATCTGCCATCAATCCCTGTCCCTGTTCCCAGCTCCAGGCAACCAACCATCTTGCTGTCTCTGCCAATGATCTCTCTCCATAATTTGGCCTGTTGTATAAATTTCATATAGATGGAATGATGCAGTAATGTACTCTTCCGTGTGTGTCTAGTTGCTCCTACTTAGCCTGTTTTTGAACTTTATCCACACCATTACATTTACAAGTAGTCTGTTCCTTTTTATGTCTAAAGGATATTCCACGGTACAAAAAAAGCCACATTTTGTTGATCTATTTGCCACTTGGTGAACACTTGGACTATTTCTGATTTGGAGATTTGATGAATAACAGAAACATTCAGGGCTGGGGATGTGGCTCAAGCGGTAGCGCGCTCACCTGGCATGCGTGTGGCCCGGGTTCGATCCTCAGCACCACATACAAAGATGTTGTGTCCGCCGAGAACTAAAAAATAAATATTAAAAAATTTTCTCTCTCTCTTTCTCTCTCTCTTTAAAAAAAACATTCAAATACAAGGCTCTGTGTGAATAGCTGATTTCATTTCTCTTAGGCAGGTGTATAGAAAAGAAATTCCTGACTTACATTGTAATTATTTACTCAACTCTCTAGGAAAAATTCCAGGTAATTTTTCAAAGTATTTCACATTTTCCATTTCCATCAGCAATGTGTGAGGTTTCTTCTTCATTATCTCATTTTCTTTATAATCTTAATAACATTTGACATATTGTGTCTCTTTCCTATTACATATATTTTGGTGACTGTATAGTGATAATTCACTGGGGTCTCAATTTGTGTTTCCCTAATACTATGATGTTGGACATCTTTTATTACTCACAGATCTTTTCTGGTAAAGTTTCTAGTCAAATTATTGGCCTTTTTATAATTGGATGACATATCTTTCAAGTATTTAATTCTGCGTTCTTTTCATATTCTAGACAAGAGTTCTTTAACTTATATATAATTTTCAAATATTTTCTCCCATTCTTTTGGCTTTCCCCCCATTTTCCTAATGACATCTTTTGTAGAGCAGAAGTCTGAATTTATCTATTATTGTTCATGTTTCTTTGAATGTGAGTCCTAAGAAATATTTGCCTAATCCAAGGTCACACATTTTTTTCGCCCTTCTTTTATTCTAGAGGTAACTATCCTTCTAACTCCTACATGTAGATCTTGGATCCAATTTGAATAGAATTTTTTGAAATAAGTGTCAAGGTTTATTTTATTTTATTTTGTTTTTTGGATATAGCTATTGTAATGATTAATCTCAGGTGTCAACTTGACCGAATTAAGGGGAATCTAAATGGCTGGTAAAGCATTATTTCCAGGAGTGATTGTTGGGGTACTCCCAAAGGAAATCAGTCTATGACTAGGTGGACTGAGGGGGGAAGATCTGCCCTCAAAAAACCTTTATAGTAAATTTTGAAACCCATTCAAATTGCTTGTGGTATAGACAGAACAAAGGAGCAAAAGAAAAAAATGAATTCACTTTTTCTTTTCTAGAATTAGCATACCCTTTTTTCTTTTGCCCATAGACAACAGAATTCCAGCTTCTCCAGCCTTTAGACTCTGAGACTTAACACTAGTGGCACCCAGGTTCTATAGATTTTAGCCTCAGTCTAAGCTAAACCATTCATTTCTCTGAGTCTGAAGTCTTCAGGTGTGGACTAAACCATGCTACCAGCTTCTCAGATTCTCTAGCTTTTAGACAGCCTATCTTGGGACTTCTCAGCCTCTATAATCATGGAAGTCAATGCTCCCAATAAATCTATATATTTGGAGACTTATATGTGTGTGTGTGTGTGTGCAAAATGCAAATGTAAAACATATATATCTATACATATACATATAATATCCCTTTTTCATAATGCCATATTATTCAGCTATAGATAGATGGATGGATGGATACATAGATAGATAAGCAGAAGATAGAGAAAACCAATGGGACATATACATATTTCATATTGGTTCTGTCTCTCTGAAGAACCCTGACAATACAAGCACTCAATTATTCCAGCATCATTTATTGAAGACTATTTTTCCACTGATTTCCCCTTGTAATTATGTCAAAAAAGTGATTATATATGCATAGGTTTGTTTTGGGGCTCTATTCTGTTCCATTGATCTATAGTTTATGATGCTAATACCAAACTGTCTTGATCATCATAGCTTTATAGTAAACTTTGAACACCAAGGAGCCTAAATCCTCCAACATTGTTCTTCTGTTTTAAATTTTTTGTTGCTTATTCTAGGGTACTTGGCATTTTCATTCAAATGTTAGGATTTGTCAATTTTTATTAAAAGTCTGTTGGGATTTTGATAAAAATTACCTTGAATCTATAGCTCAATCTGAGGAGAACTTTAACTAAAATGAATCTACAGTCCATAAACACAGTGTATCTCTCCACTTATTTAGGTCTTCATTAATTTCTCGTAGCAGTGTTTTATAGTTTTCAGTGTATAGTTCTTGTAATTTTGTTAGATTTTTGCCTAAATATTCTATTCTTTTTTGTTTCATAGTAATTGATGTTATTTTCTTAATTTTAGTTTTGGATTTTTAATTCCTGGAATATAGAAATACAGCTGATTTTTTCCATATTTATCTTGTACCTTGTGATTCTGCTAAGCTTGCTTATTAATCCTGGTAGTTTTTTGGAGGATTCCTTAAGATTTCCTACATACAAATCATATTATATGTGAATGATGAGAGTATTCCTTCTTACCTTCTAATCCAGATGTCTTTAACTTCTTATTCTTGTCTTAACACACCAACCAGAGTCTCCAGTGCCAAAGTGAATAAAAGGGGGCAAGAGAGGCATCCTTGTATCCTTTCAAAGGAGAGAAAACATTTCGGCTATTAATATTAAGCATGATGCTGTCTTGTGGCTCTTTACCAGATTGAGGAAACTGTCATCTACAGTTATAGATATGTATATACATATGTGTATATACATACGTATGTGTATATACATATACATATATGAATACATATACATATATGGACCCTGTATAAGGGTCCAGTACTATCCGTAGTTTCAGGCATGCATGGAGGTCTTAGAACATAATCCTAATGAATAGGGGAATTACTGTGTTCCTCATTTGTCAAAAAAAGAAATATATCATGAATTTCAAATGTTCTATTGTTTCTGTTGAGATTATTATATGGATTTTTGTCCTTGTTCTATCAACATGATCATTATACCATTTGATTTTTGGATAATAAGTTAACCTTGCCATGTAAAGAGATGAGAAGTCACCACTCAATCCTAACAACAAGTAAAAGGCTGGACAAACTGAAAAATCAACAACTCTTCTTAGATCCATTAGAGAAGTGAGGTCACTAGGCAAACCGATGTCTTCCAAACTAGAGGACACAAAGGGAGATACAGAGAAGCACCATTTACTAGAGCAAAAACCTCTACAGGAACCAATATCCAGACAGGAAAACCTGAAGCATAATTGAAAATTGTTGGAGGCTCAGTGTGCCCAAGTCTAACACTTCAAATCTCCAGAAGGCCAAATCCAGTGGCACATGCCCATCAGCCCAGCAGCTTGGGAGGCTGAAGCAGGAGGCTCACAAGTTCAAAGTCAGCCTCAGCAACTTAACAAAGCCCTAAGCAACTTAGTGAGACCCTGTGTCAAAATCAAGAGGGCTGAGGATGTGACTCAGTGGTTAAGCACCTCTGGGTTCAATTCCTGGTACCGAAAAAAAAAAAAAAAAAACCACTCTAGGGGGGCACCATGCTTTTCTAAATTTTATCTACAGAAGCTCTACCAAGTTCTCACAGTGAAGACCGAAGAAAAATTCCCTCATGCTTCCAACAGAGGAAGGGAAACGTAATCATTTTGAAAATGTGCAAAGCATTTTGTTCTTAATAAAACCTGCCCTCAAGAAAAACTATTCTATCAGAGCCAACCAGCTGAGATTTTGCTAGAGCCAAACTATCTGAGGAAAAAATAAAGATACCCAATTCCAGCTAAGGCCTAGCTTTCCACATGGAGAAAGAGAGATACCTAACTCCAACCCCTTTAGCCATCCTATCCCACCTAAAGGGTGGGGGGAGGACTGAGAAGCATGTAAAGGTCCAAGTTCAGAGACACAACCTCACAAGAAGGCTGAGGACTACTTGTAGGACTAAAGATTGTTTCCCAGCCCCCTACATCTTACCACTACATTTCCAAATGCCTATTTAAAGCAGTTCCTTTTACTCAATACATCATGTCCATCTAGTTTTTAATACAAAATTACAAGGCATACTGTAAGGCAAAAAAAAATTTAAAAAAAATTTTTTTGAACAAGTAGAATAAGCATCAGAACTAGAGATAGAGATAGCAAAAGTATTGAAATGTATCAGACCAGAAATCCTCTTGAAACTATTGTCAATATGCTAGAATATTTAATGAAAAAAGTAATCATCATGAATGAACAGATGAATCATATAAGCAAAGAAATGGAAAATCTAAGAAAAAATAAAAAAGAAATGCTATAGAGGGGCTGGGCATATGACTCAGTGGTGGAGTGTTTGCCTTGCATGTGTGAGGCACTGGGTTAAATCCTCAGCACCATATAAAAATAAATAAATAAATAAATAAATAAATAAAATAAAGGTATCGTGTCTATATATAACTAAAAAAAAATTTTAAAGAAAGACCAAAGCACTGTAATGGAAATGAAGAATATCTTTGATGGGCTCATTAGTAAATTGGGCATGACTGAAGAAAGAATCACTGAGCTTAAGGGATTGGCAATAGCCTCCCAAGTAGCTGGATTATGGGCATGTGCTATCTCACCTGGCATCTCAGATCTATTTTCTGAATTTGTGTATAGTGATATCATTTGCTCTTCAATATTTCATAGAGTTCTCCAATTAAACCATCTGGTTATGAATACTGCTTTGTGGAATATTATTCTTTTGATGACTCAATTTAACAAATCTTTATTGGGCACCTGTCTTCTATGTAGCCTTGTATTTGTCTCTGGGGATATATAACCTCCTGTTTTTATGACATTTACACTCTAATATAAATAAAAACGTCCCACAAACACCAATCAATCATGCCCTAACACAAGGTACTATGTGGTTATGCATAAAAATCATGATGGACAAAGTATTAAACTAAAATTTTATTCATATTCAGCTTCTATCATTATCTGGTAGTTTGACCTTTATCAATTAAACATCTTAAGTCAGTTTCTTCACTGCAAAATGAGAGGATTAGGCTAACATATAAGATCCTTCCAGTATTTAAATTTGTTGGTCTCTCTTAGACTGAAAATGACAATCTAAGAAAACTTCTTCTAACTCATACTACAGACAAAATTATTCCAAATGTATGTGGAGGTCTTAAAGGTTGAGAAAGAAAAACCCAGAATGCCGTAGAAAACTAAAAGCCAAGTGCCACAGAAAAGAAACACCACATAGCCCTAAAACACATGAAAAGTTGTTCAACAACCAACTGTACATTAACAACAAGCATCTGAAATATATATAACTTTAAAAAGAAAAAAATAAATAGCAGTAAAAGATGTCAAATACTGAAAACTACAAAACATTGCTGAGAGAAATTAAAGAAAGCCTAAATAAATATTTATGGATTGAAAAACTGAGAAATTCTAAAACTGTCAATTTTCCTTAAACAGACCTATAAATTCAATATAATCCAAATCAAAATTCCAGCAGGGATTTTCTTTTTTTTAATTTACTTATTTTTTAGATAAGAGTGTATTTTGTATACATATGTAAAATATAACTTATTTGAATTAGGATCCCATTCTTGTCATTGTACATGATGTGGAGTTTCACTGGTAATATATTCATATATAAACATAGGAAACATGTACAATTCATTCTACTATCTTTCCTATTCCCATCCCCCCATCCTTCCCTTCATTCCCTTCTAATTTAATAAACTTCTATTCTTTCCTCTATCCTTTATTGTGTGTTAGCATCTGCATATCAGAGACAAGATTCAGACTTTGTTTTTGGGATTCACTTATTTCACTTAGCATGATAATCTCCAGCTCCATCCATTTGCCAGAAAATGCCATGATTTCATTTTTCTTTTGGGATGAATAATATTCTGGGGTGTGTGTGTGTGTGTGTGTGTGTGTGTGTGTATCATATTTTCTTTATCTGTTCATCTATTGAAGGGCACGTAGGTTGGTTCCATAGCTTTGCTATAGTGACCTGAACTGCTGGTTGATGTAGCTGCATCATTGTAGTATGCTGACTTTACATCCTTTGGATATATACCAAGGAGTAGGATAACTGAGGAATCTCCACACTGCTTTCTAGAGTGGTTGCACCAATTTGCAGTTCTACTACTAATGTATGAGTGTATCCTTTTCCCCACATCCTCACCAGCATTTTTTTGTATACTTGTATACTTGATAATTGCCATTCTGACTGGAATGAGATGAAATCTCAGTGTAGTTTTAATTTGCATTTCTCTAATTGCTAGAAATATTGAATATTTTTTTCATATATTTGTTGACCATTCATATTTCTGCTGCTGTGAAGTGCCTGTTCAGTTCCTTTGCCCATTTATTGATTAGGTTATTTGTTTTTTTTTGATATTAAGTTTTTTTACTTCTTTGTATATCTGGAGATTAATGCTCTGAGTTGCAGGTGGCAAAGATTTTCTACCATTCTATAGGTGCTGTCTTCACATTCTTGATTATTTCCTTTGCTGTGAAAAAGCTTTTTCATTTGATGCCATTTCATTTATTTATTATTGATTTTACTTCTTGTGCTTTAAGAGTCTTGTTGAAGAATTCTGCTAAGAGCCACAGCCAAGTAATATGATGCATGGCATTTTTGGTTGAAAGGTGAATTTTTCCCGGGAGCGTACAGGGCATTGGCGGCAGTTTCAAAAATAAAGTTTGTTTCTGCTTGAGTGGCTTGTGATTTTGTGCCCAGCCAGACTGCGGCAGAATTCAGTTCCTAAGCCTACCTGATGAAGATTTGAGCCTACTTTTTTTCCTACAAGGTGCAGGGTCTCTGGTCTAATGCGTAGGTCCTTGATTCACTTTGAGTTTTGTGCAGTGTGAGGGATAGGGGTTCAATTTCATTCTACTCCATTTGGATTTCCGGCTTTCCCAGTACCATTTGTTGAAGAGGCTATTTTTTCTTCAGTGTATGTTTATGGCTCCTTTGTCTAATGCAAGATAACTCTATATGGGTTTGTCTTTGTGTTTTCTATTCTGCTCCATTTGTCTTCATGTCTGTTTTGGGGCCAATACCATGTCATTTTGTTACTATAGCTCCATAGTATAATTTAAGTTCTGGTATTGTGATAGCTCCTGTTTCACTTTTCTTGATAAGGATTGCTTTGGCTATTTTGAACCTCTTGTTTTTCCAAATGAATTTCATGACTGCCTTTTCTATTTCCATGAAGAACATCATTGGGATTTTAAAATGAATTGCATTAAATCTGTACAGCACTTTTGGTAGGATGACCATTTGGACAATATTAATTCTATCCAAAAACATGGGAGATCTTTCCATCTTCTAAAGATATCTTTAATTCTTTCTTTAGTGTTCTGTAGTTTTCATTGTAGAGGTCTTTCACCTCTTTCGTTAGATTGATTTTGAGGCTATTGTAAATGGGATAGTTTTCCTAATTTCTCTTTCAGCTGATTCATCATTGGTGTATAGGAACACAACTGACCTATGGGTGTTAATTTTATATCCTGCTACTTTGCTTAATTCATTGATGAGTTCTAGAAGTCTTCTGTTTGGGTCTTCTAAATATAGAATCATGTTGTAGGCAAATAGGAATAGTTTGAGCTCTTCCTTTCCTATTTGTATCCCTTTAATTTATTTCT